AGAGTGTGAGATAAGTTCTGTACTATTTGTTTTATATTTTGAATTAAGCAATTTTTGCATTTGTTATTTTAGTAAAATGCAGAAAGACTTTCAGAGTTGGCTGTGGTGGCTAAAGTTACGAATTAATGTTGTGGTATTGCAATACATTTTCTTAAATATTTTAAAATTGTAATGGACACAGAGATCTTTCAAGACCAATTGCATGTTGCATATTTTTGTTATTAACAAATACAAGTGTGAATTCAGTAGTGTTTAAAAAGGCAATAGTGTCTTGTCTAAATTTTAATTGTTTATTAGGAAGAGTTACTTATATTTGCTGGAAGCTTAGGTTACTGCAGGTTATTTTATATTTGCTTGGCTTTTTTGTCACTTTTATACTAAAAATTTCTTAATTTTAGGCAGCTAAAATGTTAATAAATGATCATAGGTTTTCTGGATACAAATAATCCAGCTAAGTGAATGTACAAGGTGAAAGGGGATAGAATACATTCATCCTCCACTGACAAAGGTTACACACATCTGACCACACACTGTATTATGTATGTACTTTGTGTTTCCTGTCCTTGTTCTTCTCATTTTATCACCTATTTTCAGTATTGTGCCATTTTCAAGTTGTTCCCTTGGGAATGTCCCTGTAGTATAATAAGAGAGTATTTTCTGAAATGCAGTAAAACATAGGTTACTGTATTGAATTTCAGTATAAGAATACTGCCAGAGTGAGCAGGTTCGTTTGTTTTATATCTTCTAAATGTTATGACAGTTGAAATCAGCAGTTGGTCACTTGAACAGGTTGTACATCCATTTTTATTCTGAAGTTTTTGAATTCAAGGCATTTTCCTTCTTGTGCAGATTTCTGAGTCAGTTGTGTTCTTTTGTTTATATTTAGTCATGTACTAGAACATGTTTTGGGATAGTGGGGGGGGGGGGTCTTGTAAAATTGAAAATCTGGTTACCCAAAACATACATAAAATCATTACAATGTGCAGTACAAGAAAGGAGTTTAGGCTTGGAGTATTTAGTAATTTCTCAAGTGTTAGTCCTAATTTATATGGCTTTATCTTATGTATATAATTATTCCCAGAGACTAAGAATCACCCTCTGGAATAAGTGCTAATTTTTGTCATCTTATGTTATATGCCCTTCTTATCGGAAAAATAATGTACTTCATTCCTGTAAGAAGCAAAAGAATGGCTTTATTCATTTGACTGGGGAATGGGCCAGCTTTTGGGAATGTTAGAGAAGCTGCTGCACGCTTCAATGGCACATCTGGCAGAGTTGGATGGTGTTTATTGGTACAGGGTGATGCGGCTGATGTGCCAAACACATGGCACAGAAGAGGATAAGCCTCTGTTTTCTGCTGTTTATTCTCTATTGGTACAAATGCACATCCATTCAGACAGCTTCTGTCCTTACTGGCAGCTGAACTACTTCAGTGTGCCTGCCTATCTGAGATTAAAGAGAAAAGAAAATTGCAAAGCATCAAATGGAACCATAAAAGAGTCACCTTTTCTAACTAGCAGCACTTCATAGTTATAGGTAGGATGGTGGAGGCTCTAATTTATGTTTACATTGAACCCAAAATAACTGGCTGACTGATAGGAATTGTTGCATGCAGGTTTTGTCCTGAGTTGCTACTTAACAGCCATTAGTTTTGTTTGTTGTTTTTTTTTTAAAATTGCCAAGTAGAAGTCCTGTTATAATTTATGGATTAAGTAGATAATTGCTACTGTTCATGTCTTTGGAATTTCCTTACTCTGTAAACAAATCTACCTTCAGGAGGAGAGCAAGTAAGAGACATAGGGTCATGCTTAACTGAAGCATTGTTTGCATATACCAGAAAGGCACAGATGAAATCTGGGACATAGAATAAAGAATTCTCATGTTGCTTGATTTTCTTTCTGCAGTTAAAGGAGGAAAAGGGCTGTTGACCTCAATAAAATCTGAACACTGAACAGAAGATCTTGTAATTAGTATCTTAAAAAGGGGGTAGAGTGAGGAGTGGAGAAGTGTTAGATTGCTTCAACTAGCCACCCTGAATTGTTACATAAATTAGGTCAGTGCTGAGTCTGAAAGCAAAATTTATCTGCCTAATTAATTGTAAAGTTCAGTTCTCAATATCACTTTGCTTACAGAGCAGAGCAGCAGAGTGTGATGAATTATTGAGAATAGAAGAGGACACACAATGGCAAACAGACGAAATGTAAGTATTTGTCATATATCTATAAGTAATTAGCTGTGTCATTTAATTAGATTGCCCAGAACTGGCATTTCCTTATCAGTTCATAATTTTGTAGACTCGGAGGCATGACAGAGGAACTTTGTGCGTGTTTAACGTTTTACACATTATTGCTGAACAGAGTGGATCTTATATTACAACTAATTAATTTGTATGCACCAATAATGCTGTAGTATTTTTTTTACCTATGTAGCATGCAAGCTTTTCAACTGGGTATTTTGATAATTAGTCTGTTAATTGCATTGGTAAAAAAATATTTTATCAAAGCTTGTAAGATCTAAATTTAATATAATGTTTCTTAAGTGTAACTTAATCGGAAAAAATCCCTAAGTCTTTTTTCTTGTTTTGTCATAATTTTAACCTTGAAACAATCATGAATTCATAGACATTAATTCAAGAGCAGAGCAAGTGAACAACAGTTGTGGAGGACAGTGTATAAGATAAGGAGATTCAGCATGACAGTGTACACTGAAGGTGTCACTGAGAAGAACAGTGAAGTCCTATATGATTTAAAAATAAAAATTGAAGGAAGGGAAGAACAAATACATTCTGAAAAGGCTTTATTGACAGTAGTAACAGGTGATTTTTAGAAATAGGTGTTTCTAAACTTCCAAAAGAATTACAAATGTTGAAAAGCAAAAGAAAGCATGCTGGTCCATTAAAATAATAGCTGTATTTAGTACTTATGTTAAAACAATGTATGGGATGAGTGCAGTTAAGAGTCAAATATTGGGAAATAAATTTTCAATTTTAGAAATCAATCTGTTTTGCTGAATTGCTAAAAGCTTTAGTTCATCGTATTTATTTGTCTATGTGTTGGGTTAAGGACAAAGTGCTGAAGAATGTTTTCAGAAAAAATCTTTCTATACATCGGCACATACAACTGTGCACAGAGGCTGATTTTTTTCTCCTCCACAGCATTTAAATGACATTTGGAAGACAGCTCACAAACTGAAATTCAGGCTACTCTTGATAACTGCTGTTCTAACTCTTTTTTTAATGTTTTGTCTTCTGTTATAGAATAAATTTGTCAGAAGAGCAAACTATTGATATAGCAATGATAGAACAACTAAGAGAAGCAGTAGATTTATTGCAAGATCCCAACAGGTATGCTTACAGTAGCTGGTGCTTAATGTCGTGTATTAAAAATTTTTGTGAATCGTCTTGGAGTAGTTCTTTAATTGGTAATTGAAAGTTTTCTGGACTTAAGAGGTGGTTTGTTAGCATACTGATGTTTTTCAGGAGGCACTAAGTTAAGAAGGAAACTTGCATTCTCTCTCTGGGTATCTAGACAAGATTTCCAGTAAATGAAGAAGGATTTCAGATTTAAAAGAAACCTAAATTCTGAGGTGGAGACACCTCTTAACTATTAATCTCCTGTACAGTACTGTGATTTTCTGAAGCTTTCCCTAGAATAGTCGTATTTCCTCTGGCGACTATTAACTCTCTTTTACTTACTAGTGCTTGTTGTATTTTGTGGGCATCGGAGAAAGGTCTTCCAGTCCAGCTTCATCCCATGTCAGTGGAGCGCATAAAGGAGGTGCCTGAATTAGTGGTGGGGTTTCTGAAGTCTTCCTCTGAAATCAGAAAGAGGAAAAGGCAGCTAAAGAAAGTTACTTTGATTTCTCCTAAGGAAGGTGTTATAGGAGAAAATACAGCAAGAAAGGTTTTATATTTTAGGTGCCTGTTTTAAGTGGCTAAAGCAAGATAGAATTACTCTGGATCTGTGGATAAGCAAAAGAGTAAGTATTTAAATGGAAGTAAATGCTTGTACTACTGAAAAGGACAGACAGGAGTGGTATAGGTAGTTCTGTCCAGATGCTACTGCTTTTCTTTGTGTAATCAAATCCAGAAATGGGTTAACTTAATTTTAAAACTAGGTAGCTCATTCTTCTTCATTGCTTCTGTAAAGTAGCTGTTTAGAGCTCAATTTCTCTCAAGACTAGAAGCATCCTTGTCACTTTTAGCCTAAAGTATCATTGTTTGTCCTTCCTTCCTTGGCTAGTTCACTATAAACGTTGGTTTTGAGACTACACTCTTTAGTTTAACTGCCTGTTTTGCTACTGCTTTTTCACCTAGCTGACCTTTTTACTTTCTAGGATAGAAATTCACTCCTGTTAGTGTTTTTAGACAGCCAATTACCTGGATTTATTTTGAATTATGTAAAGAATGTTTGAATTCTTGAATCACAAGTATTTTTGCTTAAGAAAAAGTCACACAAATTAGGAAAACTTTTTAGTTCCTGTGTTTTTGTGAGATGATTCTCATCACATATGAGGCTTGTTACTTTGTAGGAGAAATGTTGTAATTAAAAATGAAGCAAGCCTGGTCTGGAAAAAAGTTCCCTTAAGAACCATTCAGTTGTTTAACTTTATAAATTTTATCATTGTGGTTTTTTGTCAAATACTGCACCAATGTGCTTTTAACTTAAACCCAGAGAATGTAAAAAAGTGTTAACTTTCCCCAAGGAGGTCTCCCTTGTGCATCCATATAACTGTAATGACTTAGTCAGCATAACCTAGTTGAAATAACTAACTCTGCCCTGAATTATCCTTTCCTCTCACTATTTAGGAGTTAGAGAAGCCACTGTAGGGACTGAAACAGAGAGTGGTGCTGACAGGCCTAACATGCACTGACTGGAGTTCAGTGTAGAGCATATAAATTGGAGCTATATTTGCTAGGGAATATGGCTGTTAAGTTTGTAAAATGCTTGTCCAGTTATTGTTGTCCTAGTATTCTTCAGAGTTTAAAATCTATATACCTTATGTATGTAGCATTTCAGTTCTGGAAAGAATAAACATTCAGGCTCAGTCTCGGTTGGTATTTTCAGATGTTTGTTTCAGATGCCTATATTCCCTTTCCTGTATTCACTGCTTTCTTTCAGATCACTGTCTGTTGTAAATTCATTTTTGCACTGCCTTATTTTCATTCACTGTAAATTAAATTTGAATATCTAAGCAGGGCTGTGGCATATATTTGAACAAAGGGTGCTAGAAGTTGAATATAGCAATCTACATTATTCTAGATAATGGTATGTTTGTTGGTAGTAAACAGGTTCTTTTGTCTTGATACAATCCATTGCTCAGGGTGACATTTTGTAGAAGAAAGTATTAACATTTCCTTGACTGAACTGATGGTAGTGAAGCATCAGAAGGGATTTAAAAAAGCTGTTAAGAGGTAGCACAGAGCAGGTTAGCACCATGACTATAAAAGTATTTCATTAACCATTTGTTTGAAATTAAATATTAAGCATATTGGTTGCCAAAGCTATACCCCAGTGCAATGTTTTTATTTCGAACCTTGCAGATTAAGCTTGGATATTTCAAAGAGCAGTGATGTGAATCTGTATCCCATGGAACCAGCAACAGCTTTAGAATTTCAGGAGTCTACAGTAAAGTGTGTTTACCTTTTTTAGAAAAAAATAATGCATTTCTTAGGTTAATCATATTTAAGTTTTTACACAATTAATTACATATTTGCTTTTTTTTATCTTTTACATAGCAGTCAAATGCAGATGGAGATGTCTTCCCTTGGTCAGGTATGTTAATGAGTATATTATTACAGAATAATTGGGGGGGGAAGGCAGGAAATGAGCCAAAAAATATTCAATTATTAATCTACCAAGTAGGGAAGGGAAAAAATTAGTAGGAAGACAAAAGTAAATCTTTAACATTTTTATGGAACTGGTTTTATTTTTTTGTGTAAGTATATGTATAAAATTTTCCTGGGTCAGTCACTTTCTTAACTTAGTTTTATTTCCCCATGTGCGTCTTTTATGTATGCTGGTTCATGGCTCAGCTAAGCATACTTGTCTACCATCCCACCCCTCTGTCTCCTTGGTCTGGTGTAGGAAAACCAATATATTCATTAAGGATAACCCAAAAATATTTTGTAAAGTAAAAATTAACGTGTTCCCAGAGCACTGGGGTATACACAATATAAAGTATGATTTGGAGTTTTGCTTTGTGATATATGCTGCTTATTATTTAATTGTTATCCTGACTGGTGAAGTGGTATTCTTTATGATGTACTTTATTTAGATACACATTATCTACCTCTTGGCACTGGATCTGCAAGTATATAGAATCTGCTTACTTCTTTTTTTTTGCTTTTCATCACAGTATTTGTAAGAAATACTTCTGAGGTGATGTTATGCCAAAAGAAAAGTAAGGTATCCAGTAATACACAGTCTAAAGAGATATTTATCTTACAGAGGGAAAATGCTGAAGAGGAATTAGAATTCCGGAGGAGGAGGGAGTTGATTATGGAGAAAGCAAAGCCTGAAGTGAGAACTTGTGAACAGGGTGAAAAATGGTCCTTGAGTCAGGTATGGAGGTATCTAGATGCAATAAGTGTGGAAACATTTGGGATGGATCATTGCATTCTGTCAATTTGTGTGTGGAGACAAAAGTGGGTTTAAGCCTCCTGGGGTTTGTTTTATTTTTTTGCCTTAGCAAAAATTTCAAGGTTTGGCTGTGGAAGGAAGTTGATTAAGACCTGTCTCAGGAGAAAACTGATATAATGAAATCAATAAAAGCCTTTTCTTCCAAGAAATGCTTAGTAGTTGCATTAGTTGCATTGCCCTGGAAAAAAATGTGACCTCAAAGTTAGATCTTAAATAAAATGAGAGACCTGATTCCTCTTCCCCCACACCCCAGATACTCTTGTAGTTATATAAGCTGCAAAATTTATGTAAACATCACTATTTTTCATGTGCCTAATGTTATTAACAGACTATATATAGGGTTTTGTGTGCATTGCAGTGATCTACACATGAAGAACTGTGAAAAAATCTACTTTAAATATTTGGTGGCTATGTTACCACTTCAGGACTTGTTTGTATAGGGATTTTTGTGACTGCTCTTGCAAGAAGATTCTGCAAAAAAATTACGTAATGTTTTATCTATGCTGGTAGTACCTTAAATGCTCTGTCCTATGCAGATAATAGATTTAATCTGGTTTATCTTGATGCTTTTAAAATATTCTTATGTTTAATCATTGTTACTGTCAAATATTCCTGTTGCATCCTTTTGACTTTCTTAGTGTCAAAGAAAAAAAAACAACAAAGACAAAACTAAAATATCAAATGCAAAAAACTTGAGTTGGTTTGTCTCTTGTTACATTGTTATAGGTTACCAGGCTTTATTTGGAATGCAGTTCTTACTGCATTGCTGAGATTAACAGATAAGGCAAATTCTGTGCCAAAATGTGTGTAGTCTCCGTATTTTTAGCAACCATTCAACAAGGACACTGGTGATTGCTTTCTTAAGAACCTTTTGAAACTAAGAAAGAAATCTTCCTAAAACCTTGTTGAGGGCTGATCCGGACTGTGTTGCACAGGTGGAAGCACTAGGCATGGTCCACGAATTGGAAACACGTCTTGCAAGAGCAAGTTTTTAGTTGTGCTGCGTTCTGTGTTCCGCAGTAAGGACTTCTGTTACTACGTGTATAACTACATTAATTCAATTTAGCATAAATTCAGAATTCTGATAAGTGACCTTCATGCTGTGAAAGAGATCAGACCTGCAGCATGAGCATAGCTATCAGGTCTGTCCCAAGTTCATAGCCCCTGAGAACAGGAGTGCTCAAGTGTGAGAGTCCCCAGGTAGGAAGGGCTGGGATCAGCTGAGCAAGATTTCTTTGTTTATTCTAGGTAATTAAGTGGTTGAGGTTATCTCATTAAAGATGTCTAAAGTTGAAGAATTTTTTTAAGCTTGAAAAGTAACCAGGAAAGGGCAAGAAGCAAAATAGTTGTGTAGTCATTCTTCCCATCTTGCTAACTTTTGGAAGGCTCTGTGGCTGCTGGGACCAAGTGTTCCAAGTGCTGTTTTCTTTATCCATTAAAAACAAAATGGCCCTGAGGAAATTATTTTGAATTGAATTATTTCTTTTTACTTACGCCAGCTGTGTTTCTGCTGAGTTATGATTGATGCAGAATTATTGAATATATTTCATATTAACATAATTTACATGTTTTTAATTTAACTGTAGCAGAAGTGATAACAAAAAGTATATTACATTGCAATTATAAAATTAAGTGCTTATGGAATACTTATATATTAAAATTTATATTAAAAATCTGTATCTGCATATTAAGCTCTTGGTGTTAGTTTAATTACAAAATCTGTGAAACAAAATTGTATACCAATAAACATTAAGATCTTGTCAATGCAGTTATAATCACTTAGCATTGAAGCTAAGCAATTAATGACAAATCTGAATAATTTCCACAAGATTTTTAAAAACTGTGTTCAACTAGCAATAAAAGTATTAATTATTCATGACAAATAATGGTTTCAATGAGAAGAAGGAATTAAGTATTAACATGTGTTTGACTGTAGTGAGTAAAATACCGTGTTATGGTGGATCATTAATGTAATTACTGAAACAGTTTTGTGTTTTTTCTAAATGTGCAGAATGATCTAATTGTTTGGAATACAAGTGGGCAAACCTCCCACAATGAGGTAAGATGCTTGTGCCATTTTTTTGTCTCTTACATGTTTTATATGAACAGCTTGTATAAAAAGTGAAAGGTGATTGAGGATCACCTTCTCAGGTATGACTGAGCTCATCAGTAATGACTAGGTGCTTTATTTGGCTTGTGGTTTTATTTTTGTTGTCTTAAGGATTTTCTAGGATACAGAAATATACTTTCTGATAAGCTTGTTTGTGAGTTCTGTAGTTTAGTATAAAACATTTTTTTTACATTTTGTTCGTTCTGCCACGTTTTCTTTTTCTGACTCTTCCTTGTTCCACAACGGTTTCTTTTGGTGTCACTGCAATTTCTTTTTGCACAGTTGTCATGTCCTTGATTAGCTTTCAGAGAAGAGTTTGATCCTATTGATCCAATTCCTTTCACAGTGTAAATCTCATCAGAAGGTCAAAAAGGGAAATTGTCAGGAGCTCCTTATAGAGCTGTTTTTTCCCCTTCATCTTTTCTGGCTTCTCCCTCTACGTTGCACTGTATGAGCATCTTGCAAATTCCTTAACATCCAGCCACCTTCCACCAGACTCAGTGATGGGACTCCTATAGTTCCTATCTCCCTAAGGAATAATTTTTAAAATAAAGATTCCCATTATGGAGTTTGGCTATAGAACTTTTCTTGTGTTCCCATGATATGATGAGTATACCTTGCCACCTCCTGTTGCCACTATTCCCTGCAGCAACTTTGAGCCTAGTTCAGGTTCAAGGATGATCCTTCTGTGAGGTGTATGTTTAAGTTCCTCCTCCGTGCTTTTTAGGCAGAAATTCAGTGTTGCATGGAAAATACCATGTGAAATGGTTATTATTTCTGTGAAAGAAACAAATGTATCTAAGGAAAAAAGTCTTTCCTTTGTTTCTCAAAATGTACTATGCCACAAAAATATATGTTTTATGGAAACAAGTGATTACATGGGAGAAAACTGAGAAATAATTGAGCTTATATCAAGTTAGGTGGAATATCTGTCAGTCTTTGGCCAGAAACTTGTCTTTTCCAGAAGAGGAATGGGATAGAATAAAAAAAATATTATCATAGGTTCGAGGCTACATATTGTGATCAGATTATGATGGAATACTTGTGATGTGCAGTCTTGTTAACTTTTGCATTTTACACAGTTGTGTTGATATATTCTGTATTTTACTGTTACTTACATTTATCTTATTGAACTACACAGAACAAGAATAAAAGTCCGACAATGTCTCCTACTACAAACACCACAATCCCTTTTGGCCTGAAGCCACGATCAGGTAATGTGGGAAAGGAAATGAACCAATCTGTGCATACTTTTTTTTTTTTTTTGCACATCTGCATTATTAGTAGATGTCTGGGTTTTTTTTCCTTTTAAGAAGGCAGTGGTGAAACATTTTCTGTACAATAGTTAGATTAGAACATTTGAAGGTAATAGGTTTGAATCAAGATTTAATTTGTAACAATTATGTATTTGGCACATTATATATGGATCAATTTTCATCCCTTATACATTAGGCATTTTATAAAATTATATGTATGTGTGTTTAAAAATATGTTTATATGTATGTAAGTACTCATATTTTATACATATATACATATATATCATTTGCACTGACATACTACTTGAAATACAATTTGTTGCTTAATTAGTACAATTGGTGTTGCTTAGTGATACAGCTTAGATGTTGAATAATGTATGTGAGTAATAAGGCTTGTCTGGAAAACACTTATGTATTGCTTTGAAAATTACTCATTACAGACAGTCTTTCATTAGTTACAATTGTGTAAGCATCAAGCATTATAGGAAGATAAAGCACTTACTTCAGCCAGCAGCTGAATTTAATGAATTTGCAATGCACTAAATCTGCATAACTATTAATCTTTTAACAAGTAGCACTTTAATAAAAAAAAACCCCACACAACACAACAAACAAAAAAAACCCCATACTATTGATAAACATGAGGACTTGGATAACAACTTCCTTTAAGAATAGGATTAGCTACAGGAGTAAACTCAGTTTTTATCTCCTGTGTGCTGAGGTAGTCAAAAACATTAAGTCATCTCACATCACCTCAGAAGAAAAAACACAAGTGTTCCAGTATGTTTCAGTGTCCTAAAACTAATTCTGGTTTCTCACATTTCACCACAAATGCTTTTAATGGAATGCTGGTAAACCACTACAAGCTTGTAGTTTTTGTAACAGTATGTTGGCAATAATGGCAGCAGTTGCACACTTGAATGTTTAAGAAATTGTACCCACAGATTTGTTTGGGGTTTTTTTAAAGTAAATTTTAAAAGCAAAGAAAGTGGTATTGAACCAACCTTGTTTTGTAGAGAGAATATTTTAAATTTCTCATGTAGTTTTTGGCTGCATTTCTTAGTTTGTTGGGCTGTTAAACTCTGGCTCTATTCTTCTATGTTCCTGTGCCTTTAGATGTGTTGTTATTTTGCTGTATATGTACAGTATGGGTGAAATGATGAGCAAATGGCTCCTTTCAGGGTTTAGAAAAAATAAAGTAGTATTACACAATCCAGTGGCAGCATTGCCACGCCACCATTAGGAGAAAGAAATATAAAGGCAAATGGGCCCATGCCATGTTGCTGTAATAATGTGACTTCTTGTTTCGTGTGTCAGGCCAATATGCCCTTCCAAATCTTGCTGTATCAGTGCACCAGGATGTCCTATACTTAATGACTGTAATAGGTCAGGGCCATATAGCTCAGTGAATAATTTTTTTAGAGGAAGACTGGATTGCAATGGTTGCAGTCCTTTGCAACCAATCCTCCAAGCTGCATGAAGGAAGACCAGATGTGCACTACTCCTGCAGTTCTTCCCCTGTCTATACTGCAGCTGCAAAGAACTTCATTAAATGCCAAAATCTGTTGGTTATAATCTCTTGATTTTTCTGCACTGTACCAATTCAGGTTCATCTATTTGAATTGTTTTGAGTATGACAATACTGTAGTGGTTTCTCATCACACCTATAGGTTGCAAAAAACTTGACAGGAGCATTATGATCACATACAGGAAGAACTCTTTAAGGAGTGAAATCATTTTTAAGGACAGAGAAGTAGATATTTAAATTCTGTGTCAGAAAATAGGAAACCACTGTTTAGCTTTGAAGGCATGAATGATATGCTGAAGATAAACAGGGAGGAGATATTTTAAGGGTGTCAGTGTCCAGTTCTGAAACACTGTCAAATGGAGGTTTAAGGAAAGTTTGGGCAGAAATCCTTGCCACAGTCAAGATAGGAGAAAAGTGCAGAGTAGATGTGGTGGAGGAAGAATAAATGTGTCTGCTGAAGGATTTGAGGAACAAATAAGAGATGATGTTGTGACTAATTGAAGGAGGAAAGGCAGAATGAATGGAGAATATAGGCTGTAGTGCTGTACGAGTTTAGCTCCATGTTGAGTTGATGGTTGATGGTGAACTGAAGACATGAATGTTGAATAGTCTCCAGACTGTTGCAGCTTCTGTGGCACTGTGCAACTTTGCATGCTTTAGGGAGCTCAGTTGAATCATTACTGAATTTGTGCTTGTTTGAAGACTGTCTGCAGTACACTTTTGCCATGGCTTGTGGGGCAACCTCAGGATCACCTTTTCATTGAAGCATTGTATGTCTGTTCTTGTCCCTGGAAAGAAAGTTGCGGAGGACAAGGACTTTCCTAGGGTGGTGAGCCCATTATGGTCTCCCATTTACTTCTGGGGGAGTCAGCAAGAATTAAAAGTAGTGCTGCATGTACTATGAAGTGATTTAGAACAAAAGGAAAACATCTGTAATACATGTACTTACAGAACATATTTCAACAGAATAAGAATCCAAAGGATAATGTAGTTGCTATTTCCAAAATCAGCTAGGAAGTTGTAATGTATAATATTTTCATATGGCTGTGTAGTTTGTCTTTGGAGGAGGAAGTGTTCTTACTACATAGTTACAAAAAATATCAACGTTCATATTCTTGGACCTTTCATTGCTGAAACATCCCTGTTGATATATTTACCTTCTGATTCATGGAGTCCAGATTTTTGTCAGGCTATAAGGTAAAATCTGTGGGTACTTTTTCTTCAAACTTGGTTATAAACAAGTAGTGTGAAGTGCTGTGGTTACAGTGATCTTGCTAAGCTTAACAGCCTTAACTACGCATAGAATGTCTGTTTTGCAAGTACTAACATATAACTTTTCGTTCTTTTTATTCTGCACCATCTCTCACTCTTTTCTCAAAAAATGTGCATTTTGTATTAATCACCTTTGAACTACATCTTCGTCATTACCATACAATCCTAATGCCATATATGAAATGATGCTGCCCCCTTTTATCCCCCCTCTGGTCCTTATACCACCATGGTTGGACTGGCTATCACCCCCTTCAACAGACCCATCCCTCAGTCTTCCTCCTATCTCCTTCAACACACTTACACAGGCACAAACATGGGACAACTTTAGCTACAGTATCCCATCTGAAGGAGACAGTGACAATGGTAGGTGTTCCATATATAATTTACTTAATTTTGTGTTTTCAGAAACCTGGATATATGGCAAATGCCATGGTACTCTTGAGACTGAATACCCCAGAGGGTGCATGTTAATTTGCTGTAGGGTATGTGATACCAAAAGTAAATGAGTGAAAGCCTCACTGTTTTCCAGTCTAGCAAAGCAACTTCTCCTATGATACAATCCAAGAACTGTTTCTAATATGGGGTTCTTTACTTGCTTTCCTTTCAATAGTTTATGAAAGTTGGGCTCAAACAACAATTAATTTTGCTACTGTCTTTTCTGCATTTTTAAAATTTAGTATTTTCTGATAGATACCAACTGTTACTAAAAATACCCTACTTCCTTCTGCAGTTATTGATGCAGTTGCAGAACAAACTTAATTAGAAGCATAATCCAAGAAAGAATAGAGCTGAAACTATCAGTTAATCAAAAACAGTGATTTCTGTCCAACAGAAAGTGTCAATAAGCTATCAAACTTCTCTCTGCATAGTGAAGGCTGGGCACCTTAGTGGCCTTTGTTATTGCTGCTTTTAATTTTTCTCCAGGGCGTTATTGACATAATACATTGTGTCTTGGCACTAACACACAAAACTGGCCATGTTTGGGCTGTCAGGGTTTTATACTGCATTAATAGTTAAATGTCAGATGGAAGAACCTAGACAGTTAAACTGTTTATAAATGTTTGATGGCAGCTGTATCCTTTTAAAGTAGGACTATTGCTCTTCCAGTGTGTTTAGGTTTTTGAAAGCACTGAAATTGTCAAAAGCAACAGATTGAAACCAAGAACATAAATCTTGAATGATAAATACCAACATTTATTTCAAGTGCCTAAATACTTAGTTCAGTTCAATGTTTGACAGTACTCACTGTTGCCACAGTGTTCTTGATTTTAAATCTGTAAAAGCATGTGTAAGGAATCAGGTCGTTAAGGAAATTAGTATGGAATAAAAGAATTGTGGTGATGGTAAATTGAAAAACTGAATTTAGTTCATGGTGGTATAAAGCTAACTTAATGTTTTGCTGATGAATATTCTAACTGACAAAGCTAGAGGTACCTCCATCACTGTAGAATTTGATCAGTATTAATCTAGATTTGTTACTGCTTTGCTCTTCTAAATGAAATGGGCAGTACAGACTAGTGTGTGCTTGTGCATTTGGAACAAATAGATGTCTTGTCATTAAAATGTTAAGCCAAATGCAAATACTGGTGTGTATAAACTTGGGCTGTTATAACAGAAAACTGCTTTTACAATTTGTTGTGTTTTGGTTTCTTTTTTTAATCAGGACTCTTGCTTTTCTGTTTAGAGTTTATCTAAGTTGTATCTTCCTATGGTAGGAGGTAAAATGGACCAGAGACCGTTATCTGGCCCTGAGGTTAATTGGCACAGCATTATTTGAATCCATACTTAAGCACTCTTACTTTCCAAAACAGGATGGCTGCATTTAAGCTGCCTTTGGAAAATGTCCTTTGCCTGTGCTATTCCTCAAGCTATTTCTAGACGTTGCTTAGAAGATAGATGGGTTTGCACAGGTCAAAACTGTACCAACAGGCAACAACATTAACAGCATCAGTGTGTGCAGGCCAGTGCTGAGGATCCACACGCAAGCCTTGTATCACTTGCTAGTAGAAGTGTAGTCTTTGGTATGGAAATGCCACACATCAATACAGTATCTTAATACTTCATATCATCTTCAGTGTAACTATCTGGCAATGGCTCTGTAACAGAGTAGGCTGAGCCCAGGATTTCTGGGAGGTTAAAAGGCTTGGAACAGACAGGTCTCCCAAAGTTCATACCATTGTGGATGCTATGGTAAGTTAAAAAATGTTGTTTACCAGAAGGCTAATCTTGTTCAACGAAGTACTAGACACATTAAATTACTTGATGTACTATAAATAGTGCACTTATACGTATGTCTAATTCATTAATAGATTTGAATAAGTAATATTGACATTTACTTTTTGTTAACAGAATTTTGTAATCTGAAATCAGAAGATAGTAGATCTTGGTATGTTGATGTTGATATAGCAAAGCCTAAACAAATACAGCTGTGGCCAAACTTGCTGCTGCTAATAAAACTACAGTGGCATTTAAATACCATTTAAATATGGTATTGCTCTTCAAACATGGTTTTATCTAGATATTTCTTCTGAGAGAGGCAGCAAAGCTTATATATTAGAGCTATTTCTAAAATTAAAATCTTAGTAATTGCAACCACAGTTTTTAATAAATGTGATAGGAGATTTTTAATTCACTGCTTAAAAATTTAGGAGTAGTCTCCAATAAATTTTTACAGAGTTGCTAATGCAGAAATTCAGTACAATTCTATAGTTTAATAGAAGTTCTGGGAAAGAG